ATAACCGCACTTGATTACTGAATTGGTGAATTTTGCAAACCAAGCACGAGGAGATTGTTTGAGACCATACAGAGATTTCTGGAGCTTGCATACTTTGCCACTAGGGAAGGACCCTTCAAGACCATGTGGTAATTCCATGTATACATCCTCTTCAAAATCTCCATTAAGGAATGCATTTTTAACATCAAGTTGCATAAGGGGCCAGTTTCGGTTTCCTGCAATGGAGAGTAAGATTCTAATGGAGTTCAGTTTGGCTACTGGGCGAATGTCTCTTGGTAGTCAATTCCGTATGACTGAGTATAACCTTTTGCAACCAGTCGGGCTTTTAACCGATCTATTCTTCCGTTTGCCTTACATTTGATTGAATAACCACCTGCATCCTACTGGTCTCGTATCCTTGGGCAAATCAGACATAATCCATGTTCCACTCTTTTCTAGTGCAACAACTTCTTCATTTATAGCTTTTCTCCATTCCGGGTGTGAGAGAGAGCTTCCTGAATAGAATTCGAATGCTGTCAATAATAGATACAAATTCATGATAGGGAGGAGATAACCTCTCATATGAAACAAATCGGGCAATAGGATGTTGAGTGCAAGGAACATCAGAATCATCTTTCACAGGCGGGATAAGCTCATAATCACTAGTGTCTATAGATTCCGTACCTGAGTGAATTTCAGAGGATTTTGGAGTCGGATTAGATTCTTGGACAGCAGAGCGGAGCTAGGTTCTCTATTCTTTCAGCAGTTATGTTTCGTCTTGTATAGACCCGAAGTTCCTGAGGAGTGGGTTGTGTAGACTGAGGAGGTTTAAAGTGGGGGTTGTGTAGACGGAGGAAGTTGAATAGGAGATGGAGGAGGTTTGACAGTCGGTGAGGGACCCGTGTCTGTTGGTAAAGGAACACAGGCTGTTGTTCACTATAACTACTCTCCCCCTGAATGACAGACCCTTGGTAGTATAATTGATGCTAAAAAAAGGTGACATCCATAGAATTATAGACTTTTTTAGTTGAAGGACAATAACACTTGTAGCCTTTCTTGTTGGTCGAATACCCTATGAATATGCATTTGACAGATTTGGGGTCTAATTTACTACAGTGTTGTTTATGAATATGAACAAAGATAGAACAACCAAATAGTTTGGCAGGGACAACTGAAAAGAGTGTACAGGTATTTGGAAATGAGCGAAGGAGAACATCAATTGGACTATGGAAACCCAGAATACGAGAGGGCATCCGATTTATGAGGTAGGCAGCGGTCAATGTTGCCTCGCCCCAATAACATTTAGGGACCGATGTGGTAAACATGAGACAGCGGGATACCTCCAACAAGTGGCGATTCTTCCGCTCGACAACCCCATTTTGTTGGGGAGTATCAACACACGTGCTAAGGTGAAGGATGCCATGTTAAGTAAGAAAAGTTCCTAGGGAGGTGTTGAAAAAATCTCGTGCATTATCTGTTTTGAGAGCTTGGATTTTTGTATCAAACTGAGTGAGTATCATTTGATAGAATGCCCAAAATATTGGTTCTACCTCGGATTTATCACGCATGAGATAGATCCATGTCACCCGTGTGTGATCATCAATAAAGGACACAAACCATTGAGCCCCAGAAATATTTTTTTCACGAGAAGGACCCTAGACATCACTATGGATCAGAGAAAAGGGACGAGTGAGTTTGTATGATAATCGAGGAAATGAAGTACAAGTGTGTTTGACAAATTGACAAAATTCGCAATTAAAAGAGGTAGGATTTTTATTAATAAATAAATGAGGAAACAATTTCCCCAGGTACATAAAGTTGGGATGACCTATACGATAATGAAGTAACATGATTTCACTATCATTATTAACGCTGGAATGAAATACAGATGTACTAAGCGGATTTAAGCAAGACAAACTTGATACTGGAATACACCCGGTGGGTGAGACTAGACTGACAGAGGATTTGTTGAGGAGATAGAGACCACTACGCAACTCAGCACTGCCAATCATCCTCCTCGACTTCAAATCCTGAAATTCACAATCATATGGAAAAAATTTAGCAACACAATCATGAGTGAGCTTACTAATAGAGATCATATTGCAATCCAGAGTAGGAACATGAAACACAGAAGTGAGAAATAAATCTGAAGAAATGAGGACAGAACCAAGGCCAGCAACTTTGGAGGCTGATCCATCAGCAATCGGAACAGTGAGGGTCGGATTACACGGCCGGTAATCCATTAATAAGGAGATATCCCCGGTCATATGATCAGAGACACCTGAATCAACAATCCAGAGGCGAGAAAAGGTTGAATCCGAGATGGAAGCGGATGGGGAAATACCTTGATAGGTAACAAGGCTGGTGGCACCCGATGCCACACTAGTAGGCTGGGCTGGTGACAACTGACCGAGCATCTTTTGGAGGGCATGAATCTGTTCTTTGCTGAATGGGCTCGTTCCTAGAGAAGTTTCGGTGGTGCTGGTGGCAGCTGCCCGCAGGTTTCATTTTGGG